TATTTTGTTGTGATTGTGAGAAATTTAGAGATTAATCTCCCCAATAAGAACAAAACAAAATATATAGTCTATTTAAAATATACAACATGATATATAGTGATAAAAAATATGAACTGTCCAGTTAAAAAATAATTCATCAAACACGAAAATTAATTATTAGATAAAGACAATATTCCTTTCTCTTTTTGCACATAAATTGTTATCAAAAAAATTTTAATGTCAAAATATTAAATACGGTTGTTGTAATATTTTAAAATATTTAAATTAGTCTGCATATTTTTTTAATTGTAATTTGTATATGTTTAAAAAATTATTAATTTAATAAGCGACGGTTAATATTAATGAACACATCATTTTGACTTATATTAAATATGTCATATTTTAATTAGATTAATATTTATTTTAAATATCACATATACTTATTAATTTATTAATTTAATATAAAAAAAAATTCATTTTTTAACTATTTTTAACAAAAAAATAAAAACATAAAAAAACACTTCATCTACATACGGGTCAAGTATTTATTTTATTTTATTTTTTATTTTTTAAAATTTTTGATAAAATAATTTTTTATATTAAATATGAAGTTATTAAACACATAATATTTAATATTAATATTAACTAAATTAAAATGCAATGTAATAATCCAGTAATCATTAATGTCTTTGAATTAAATTAAAATTTTTCAAAAAATATAGAGATAAAATTATATAACTATATATATGTATATATAATTATATATAAACAAATAATTTAAATTACCGGATTTTGTTTAAACCATTTTTTAATATAAAATTGCGGTTTTTATTACACTGTATTAGAAAAATAAGTAATTTATGGCAATAAACGAAATTTTAAAGGGAGAGATGAAAAAATGGAAAGATAAGAAATAGAGAAGAAGAAAATCATTTGTTTGGTTTAGTAATTTAATTTTAAGATTAGGATAACGTGTAATTTATGAATTGTCCGGCAGCCACGTCATTATTACATGAAAATTCTGTTAATATTTAATAGAAATTTTATTACCAAAAAAAAAAAAAAAAAAAACTTAAAATCACTAATTTTAAAATTTTGAAAAATCAAACATGGAAAAACAAGAAATCATTTAATGAAATAAGGACCAAAAAGGCGAATATGGCCAAACACACTCTGTCCCGATTCTCAAGGCCACAACAACCTCGCTAATTTAAAATCGACGGCCAGCGAAGCGAATATCAGCTGCGATCTAAACCAACGGTTCAGATCACTTCTCATACAAACACCGAACAGCTTAGGGTTTCATTTTCCCACTATTTGTTTCCTTCTTGCTTCCATTTCTCTCGCGGAAGTACCTAGAAATTACTCGCCAAAGAAAAAACACCACAAGCAAGCCCTTGTTTCTCTCATTTTTCATCTCCATTTACTCGGGAAAATCATGGGGAAAGGTCCAGGTCTCTACTCCGACATCGGCAAAAAAGCTAGAGGTAATTGAATGTTTCGTTACCGTTTATTTCTTTCCCACTCATTTCCTGTTGGTTAATTTTTTGGTAGTTTTTCTGATTTTCTTTTTTTCCAATTTAATTTTACAGATCTCCTCTACAAGGATTACCAGAGTGACCACAAGTTCACTCTCACCACCTATACTTCCACTGGAGTCGTGAGTTTTTATCTTCTGAATTTATTTTTGTCTTTTCCAATCGTTTGGTCTCTGCGGAAATGGTGGAAAGTGATATAGAGAAATATTTGGTTTTAATGCTTTCGGCAATCTGAAACAAGTAGGTGTAGTTGCATGGTGTTGGGCGAATTTAATTGATGATACGCTTAGGCTTTTTTGTTATATTAATCTTTATCTTTAGTTCACTCATGTTTTCTGCTACCATGTTTGGTTGCTGGAATTATCGGAAAAAGATGGAAAGACACGGTTTGTTATAATTAGGGTTTTGAGTGCTGTATCAGCTACTACATCGACGCTAATGAAATTTTAGATCAAACAGAGTTACTTTTTCTGATTTGGTGATGGTTTGTACATTATCTGTTCCCTGTTTGCCTGATCTTTTGTAAATAAGTACGAGGATCAATTGTGACTTCGTTGAGGTCTCATTATGAAGCTGGAAATTCTATTATTAACAAGTTACTATTTCATATCATTTTCTGCATGCCTCCAATTATTTTGGAGCCTAGTATTTCCACTAAAATTAATTTCTCAAAGGATAAACATCATATGCATATTTCTTCTGCTGCTTTAGATGTTGTCGATATTTTCCAAACAACGCAGGATGAACTTTTGAGGTTCACTGGCATCTTTATGCTGTGGTTGACACTCCGGGAAATTGTAATCATGTTCACTTGTAGTATTTTCCTTGTTGTTAACTTTTTTCCCTATGTTTCACTGAAAATGTGGATGTTTGTGCTGTTCTGTAGTGCTAGCTTGTGTTATGTTGGTTGACACTCCTGGAAATTGTAACCATGTTCACTTGTAGTATTTTTCTTGTTAACTTTTTTCCCTATGTTTCACTGAAAATGTGGATGTTTGTGCTGTTCTGTAGTGCTAGCTTGTGTTATGTTTTTTGATTCAAGTCTTCATGTCATTTTATCTATAAGAATCAATTTGCAAATAGGTTACTGTTGAGTGGAAAAATCATAGTTCACTTTCTGATAGTCATGTTTTTGTGCTGTTTATGGTTTCTGTTTTGAGTTTATTCAGACTTTTATTATTTTCTGATCTCCTCATTTTAAACTTCAGGCAATAACTTCAAATGGGATTAAGAAGGGTGAGCTCTTTCTTGCTGATGTGAGCACTCAGCTTAAAAACAAGAACATCACTACTGATGTAAAAGTGGACACGAAGTCAAATGTAAGCTTCAGAAATTATTTGGCAATGAGTTTTTAATGTCAATCTTTTCTCCCCCCTAATCTGACAAGACATTTACATGAATGAAGTTCTTTATTCCATTTTGACTCTTGCAGTACTGGCTTATATGATCTTATATTTCTTTGCTTCTGAAGAATGATTTCTTTGCAAAACATCTGATCCGACTCTTGTTATTTTACTTACTGCTCTGTAATGGATTTATTATTTGTGTATGGTTCCCTAATACATATATTTGTTTGTGTTTTGCATGTAGCTCTTCACCACTATTACTGTCGATGAGCCTGCACCTGGGCTGAAGACAATCTTTAGCTTTATTGTACCTGATCAGAGATCTGGCAAGGTAACAGGCTTACTATTTACTGTTCCTTGTTTACTGTTAGTTTGCAGCTTCCCGAATGGACCACCCATTAACATGATGTCTTATTTTAATGTAGGGACTTCTCACTTGATGAGTCCATTCTGTGCTAATTTAAACCTGTCTTATTGTGTTAACAGGTGGAACTCCAGTATCAACATGAGTATGCTGGAATAAGCACCAGCATTGGGCTGACTGCAAATCCTATTGTTAACTTCTCTGGTGTGATTGGAAACAATTCTGTGGCTGTTGGAACTGATCTTTCCTTTGACACTGCCACTGGAAACTTCACCAAATGCAATACTGGATTGAGCTATACCACTTCCGACCTCATTGCTTCCCTAACATTGTGAGTAGTTGTTTTATGCAGAAAAAGTGTTAATTTAATTTAAGTGTATTTCTTGTGATATTTCTTCCATCCTTTTTTCTTAATGGTTCAAATTATGTGGTCTTTTATCATTCATCAAATATTTGAATGATTAATATGTGGAAGTTCCTTGAATATTTCCCCCCTGTATATCAAGTAAAGGCAGCTCTATGCTGAAGTTTTAACAGCACTGGTGAAAATAATGTTGACTGGGTAACTAGGTTGTTCACTTGTTTATGATTGGAATAGAGTAAGCTGCTTCTTTTGAATGTCTGGCTTGACGTAGTTCTCTTTGATTTTGACATTATTTTTGGATGACTGCAGGAATGAGAAAGCGGACACTCTGAATGCATCCTACTACCATGTTGTGAGCCCTCTGACTAATACAGCTGTTGGTGCAGAGCTGACCCACACCTTCTCAAGCAATGAAAATACTTTGACAGTTGGCACACAGCATGCACTTGACCCGTTGACCACCGTGAAGGCTCGAGTGAACAACTATGGAAGAGCGAGTGCTCTAATCCAGCATGAGTGGCGTCCAAGATCACTATTCACTATTTCTGGAGAAGTCGACACCAGGGCAATAGAGAAGAGTGCTAAGGTTGGACTGGCCTTGGCGATTAAGCAATAGGCTGAGCTAGTAGTCTTGGAATGAGTTCAACTGCTTTGAGATTTAAACTTAATAAGCTAGGGAGAAGGATTCTAAATCTTTTTTGTTTCAGTTATCTTTTGGTATCTGAATGTTGTTTCATCCGGTTTCACTTGTTTTGGTGGTTATTAGTTGTACAAAATAATTGTGGTGGTGGCAGGCACCAACGTCAACCATATCTCTAATATTTGAAATTCCTTTCCCACCCATGCCCAATTTGAGGGTTAAATTCAAATGTACTGTTGTGGAATTTTTGGTATGAATAGAGAGACTTTATTCAGTTGGTCTAATTTTTCATCAGTACGGGGAGACCGTCTTTGGAATAATTACATAATGAACTTTAACTCGTTTAATATGACTGTATGGAAATTTATTTGAAAGTCTATTTCTAAGTGAAATAAACTATGAGCCTGCAAAATATTTTTTGATTTTGTGTTTTTTTTGTAGCCCATTGTTAATTGTGGTCTATCCGTTGTTCAATCTGTATGTTGAAAGGATGTGTTTATGGACTGTCTACAATTTATTTTGTTATTGTGAAGTACTTTGGACTCTTTCTGAAATGATATTCACTAGTTCACTTTTATCTAGAATTCTTTAGTTATTTATTTTTATTATTTTAAAAATAATATACACTATTTTATAACATAAATAAGTGCAGATTTATTTAATTTTTTTTGTATGATTTTGAATTTATTCAAAAATGAAAAGTTTTTAACTATTTTTTCTTCTTGTTTTTGCATTTTCCAACTTTAATAGAATTTAGAATTTATGCTTAAATTTTATTAAAAGTAATTTAAAGTTACCGTTTAAAATTAAAAATAATAGTTATAAAAATTTAAATTTTACAGTTTATTGTAAATACACTTTTAAGTAATATTTTTTTTATTAATATTGAGATAATATGTGATATTTTACTCTTTTAATACTCATTACTAAATAATTGATATCTTATAGGTAAATCTCGTGGCTATCTCTGCGCTTCCACTTCTTTATCATTGAGTGGTTATGTAGAGACTTTTGTCAATAATCCAAGTTGTCATACTTTTGATGATTAAGCTTATCTTCTGTTGTCTCACTAGCTAACTTTGACTCATGTTATTTTGAGATCATATTTAGTATTCATAATTTGTCTCGATTTGGTATTGTTCTTGAGACCTGCACAGAAACAATGTTATACCTTTAAATGTCCCGTTAATTATTAACTCAGTGTGTTTCAAGAATAACCAACTAACTCTATGTTCAAGTAACACTTCATTCTAACCACAATTTATCCGTTGATTCTTAAACATCAGTTGGTTTGGATATCCACTTTGTTTCACCCAAGTTTCATCTAAGTCATAGATAGATAATTTAGGTTTGGGTTTATTAGCAATGACAATTACCCTAAGAAGAGTCGCTTTCACTATGACTGATGGATTCCCTTAATCAAACCACTGACTATTAGTCATTGACTCATTCTTTAACAAGCAAGCGGTTAGAGACTTAGACTTATCTTACTGATTGGGAGCTTACGACTTCATATTCTGTTTCACTTCTCAATGAGGGTTCGTTTCACCCTTCCCGCCACAATGCTACTGTCATCAATCACCCAGTAATATTTATCTTTGCAAGGTAGTCCTTACTAATTCACACGGGATTTCACGTACCTCATGCTACTAAGGTTAGAACATAAATTAGTAATTTTTTAGGATATGTGACTCTCACCATCTAAGATGCAACATTCTACTGTTTTATTTTGGCAGCATGATGTTTTTATTGATCTCTTACAATCTCATTTTCACGATTTAGATTATACCCATTTCGCTTGTCGCTAGTAAAAGAACCGCTTTTGCTTTCTCTTCCTCTAGCTATTAAGATGTCTCAATTCGTCAGGATATCTCGTCTGTCCATGAATTCAACAACAATTATAAAGGTTAACCTATTCGTAAATTTCTAAATTTAAGTTTATTTTCAACTCCTCGAAATATTTTGTCACTTACTATGTCATTCCTTATCACTACGTGTCTAGATATCCCCCATAAACTTTTTCTCGTTTGAACCTCATCTTTAACTTTAAGATCATCTTATCCTAAGGTATTGATGAATGAAATGATCTTATTTTATCAATGTTTATGAATAAAAAATTGGTACTATCATATTATTTTGTATCAGCTTAGTTTACAAAATGGGGATAAATAGACTCGAACTACTGACATCCACTACAGTGTTAATCACTAACCTATCAAACCCCATATTGATTCTATTATAAAGACAAATGATAGATAATAATTACTCTTCAAATACAACTTACAAAGATAATACATGATATTACGACTTCAATCCCAGTTCTTCCTCCTTCAAGGAAAAATAATATAAGAGTTGCTTCGTAAATTTATAAACTTCTTAAGTCTAAAAGTTATAGATTGTTACTAATTATTTTTTATATTTTCTTTTACTAACAAGAAATTATCACATGACAATTTACAATTTTCTTTTTACTGATAAGAAATTGTAAATTGTCACGTGTGAAAATTTTGAATCATCTTCCGTGTATAAAAGAAAATTTCAAAAAATCATTTTTGCTTATCTTTTACTAGTATATGCACACACGTATACAGATACAATACATATTACATGCATTATATATATATGTAATTATAAAGAAACAACTTAGGCTGTAGTCTTGTGTAAATGTCATGTTTGTTACATTTCTTTGCGACCTATGCGAGCCAACACTCTCCAGGTGAATAACTTGTTTTCTTACACGTCAAAGCGATAAGCTTTATTCTCAAATCTCAAGTACCTATTTAATCTTTTGCTGGTATCATTTAAAGAATAAGCAACTGAATATCCAAATCCATAAAATCTCGTACAAACCTCTTCTTTAAAAACCCCATTGTTTACAACTATACTGCATTATTTATTCATAAAACTGTAATATATCTATTGACATACAACGACCAAAGACGGCCAAGCCAAAAGTCGCCCCTTCCAGAGCGCAATCAACTAGGCTATCCATTATTCCGTATAAAGCCCAGCAAGTCTTGTAAATCAGAAATGCATGATAAAAGAAAACCAGATGAAGCCTCCGATTATATACCATTGGAAACTCCTATCAACATCTTATAACAATATCACAAGACACAATTCAATACTATGAACATAAGAGCGTCATGCATGTAATTCCCCTATTTATATCAAAGAGAAAATATGAAGGCAGAATAGATAATACCACCTAGCAAAATTCTAGGCTTGAATCAGCGAGTAGTAGTATTAGCCTGAAGAAGACCGTCCCTGATCTGTGAAGCAATGTCTCTTACAGCACCCGGTCCATGGGGAATGAAAACAGAGTTAGACTTTGAAGCTGCACCTATCTCCTTCATGGTGTCAAAGTACTGGGTCACCAAAACCATGTCCATGACATCCTTCGATGTTGTACCAGGTACACTTTCAGAGAAGGCTAGCACACTGTCTCTTAGCCCATCAACTATGGCCTGTCTCTGCCGAGCTATCCCGAGACCCGCTAGATACTTGGATTCTGCATCTCCCTCAGCTTTCTTGATCTGCAAAATCTTCTCTGCTTCAGCTTTATCATTTGCTGCCACTCTCATTCTAGCAGCTGCACATTACCAATTAAAAAAGAGTATATATTAAACATTCCATTTCATATAATGAATTAGCTTACTGGGTCTCCCTTTCTGAGAATTCTTTGTTTGTCTTTTTCTATGAAGACATGCTTTGTTTGTTCATAAAGAAATGTATGCAGGGATATAATGCATTCTCCCAAAGAACTCAGAACTTGTGTGCAACCAGGCCATACTGGCCACTAAGGTCAATCCACCAACTAGATGTCATAGTCGTGGTGCATACAGTACCAGACTAGAGAAAACTTAATCTCAGAGCCCACCATCCTGTGGGGTTAGTTACAAGTTGACATGAAAATGACTTACTCACACTAATTTGTTAGATCTAACAACTGAAGTATAGCAACCAGAACAACTTATTTTAAAGTGCTAGTCAGAAAGAAGAAGAAAGCAACAGCAATTAAATATGCTTTGCTAATTAAGATACAGAAATAAATACCAGCGTTTATCTCATTCATTGCTCTCTTTACATGTTCATCTGGTTCAATATCCACTATGAGAGTCTGAACTATCTCAAATCCATAATGCGACATGGCCTACACATAAAAAGAGATCAAAGGCATGACAAAGTACATTTAGTTTCTGCAATTGCATTTATATCAACCAATTCAAGACAGATAGAAGAGTACCTTCTCAAGTTCATCTTCCACAGCTTTGGCAATCTCGTTCTTTTGTGCAAAAGAGGAATCCAAGTCCAACCTTGGAACACTAGCCCTAATAACTGAACCAACATATAACTAGGTTTGTCATAAAGAACCTAAATCCTATATTCGTCTTGCAATAACTAAGAATAGAAAAAAATAGCTAAAACTAAATATATGGCTTAAGAAAACAGAGAAAATAGAAAACAAAAGTAGTGGATCTGTACCATCAAAAACGTAGGCTTGAATCTGTGCTCTGGTATTGCTAAGTTTGTAGAAAGCATCTGCAGCTTTGTCAGCTAACGCTCGGTATTGAATGGAAGCAACCACTGTAACAAACACGTTATCCTGAACAAATACCATAAACCACAATAAATTCAGTGAAGAATGCACTTCTGACACCAAGATGAAGATATCATTTCTTATGTTTAGGATAAAAATAGCAGTTGTTACTGGTGACATTCACAGGACAGAGACAACAGGAATCCAATCAATCTCTCCAAAAAGTACTTATGGCTTGGGAAGAACAAAATGCACTATCATGAGTAAATTATTCCTTGTCAGAGATGCAATAACTTTTAAATTGATTTGCAACTCCTTTGCACCTCATACTTTAACAGGAAAAGAAAAGATTGCATCAATGACAAAGGAAGGTGTTAGTGTATAAAAAATTTCTCCATCTCATGTCCTGAAGTTGAGAGAATCGCAGTCTGTATAAGGAGCAACTACCATTTCTCACAAGGAAATAAACTTTTACGAACTGAATCTCACTTGAGCACAGCTCAAACTCTCACCAAAGATATCAACCTCTCACCACATTTTTGGTACCACCTATTGGAGTTTGTAATCAACAGCTTGCCAGCGAACCGTACAGTCTAGGGGACTATATTTCCTTATAGATTCCCTTAGTTGAAGGGCTACGTTAGCGTACAAAAAAATCCTCTATCAGTTTGAGTTGAAAGAATTATCTTCCTTAACAACAGAGTTTAACCTCTTTCTAAGGAACTTGTTCAATATCAAAATTTTAACAAGACGACATTTCACTTGGATATGAGCCAAATTCTTACCTCATAAAAGGAAAAGAAACTAGCTAGAGCCTATATGGTTTAGTTTTTGAGTGTTTTATGACCACAAAACTTCATTTTCTCCTTAATTATGAATCACTTGATTTTGCTAAGCATAGAAGAATCAAGATGCACTTACATTCATATGATCATAGAGCAGCATATAAACTACATTTTCTAAGTGCCAAAACCAGGTTTTCTTACAAGCAAGCCAATTATGATTTTATTTTTTTTAAAAAAGATATGGTTGCTGTTAGTGAAGTGATATTAATGATGCAAGAAACCTTAGTTTTCGTTTCACAACGGACATCCAACTGTTGCACACGTAACGAGAGATGACCTGCCAACTGGCTCCCCAAACACCAAGGCAAACAGTGACAACCAGGCTCCAGAACATCATCAAACTTCCCAAAGGTTTCTTTAATTGCTACAGTAGACTGGTCAACTTGAACACAACCAAGAACTTGTCCCATTTTCTGATTAACCAAGCAGAGAAACAGATATGAAAAGTGAACAGTAATCCATAGAGGAAATTTAAGAGGCTCAATTGGAATTGACATAAGTATCTCAAAACATAGATTACAATCCTCATTAAAGCACTACTGTAGTCCAACTTAACGCTTTGAAAAGAAAACATGCCACATGACCTAAAATAATTCAATTAACACAGAGAATTGTGCTTGAAATGAATTATAGTTTCCAATAGAAGTCGTAAACTTGCCTTTAGGGATGCATGTCTCACATAATCCTGAAGAGATAAAACAAGAAGAGAGGTGGAGAAAACAGGGAAAGGGAAACATACAAGCTTGTAAGTGATTAAAGTTACCTATATTCAAGCAACAAGAAGATTGAGAAAATGGGTTTGGCTGGTCAACTAGTCAGATACTCCAGGAGTCTATTACTCTACAATATCAGCAGTACAACTAATCTACTTCATATTAGAATCCAGTGTATTCAAGTGCTTTGAGCTAAAACTTGAGATGCTACTGTTCACCTCTCACCTTGGCCAAAACAAATTGATAACTTTAATCGAAAATACTTTTTTAAATTTTGTAATGATCAATTAATATGTTTGCACTTTCTAGATCATCTTAAAAAGTGGCAAATGATTTTAATTGAATGACCAAGGAACAAACAGCTTCTTTGAAATAATTGTCTAAATTCATATCAATTCAAACAATCATCTTCTCCAAATTCCTTTTTGGAATTTAAACACACTATGAAATAAAATTCTTTTGGGATATGAAAAACTCTCCATAATGGAAAAAATAAGTCATTAACATAGGAAAAAGAAAGGCAGGACAACAGAAGCAATTCGACCAAAGGGAGTAGGTGGATCGGGCCTGCAGTTACGATATAAAACTAGGCCATAGTGCAAAACATTTCTGAGAATGATTCTGATAGTTCTAACTTTGAAAAAACAGAAACACCATATTGACAGAGAAGTCACAAAACCAACTCATTCCAAAGCAACAACCAGAGAAAGAAAGTTAACAGTGTCAAATGTAATCTTTTCAATGTTTTATGCTAAAACCTTTATTATCATCTAACTAACAGGTAAATCACATTAGTAATCTTTTTCCCTTAAGAAAAAGCAGTTTCCACCTGGATGAAAATATAACAAAAACAGGTAAAAGTCATAACATAAATCTGACAACTAACAGAACCACCCGCCAAAGCCAGAAGGAAACTGCTGAAACACTATCCAGATTATATAACTGGAAATGACTTAAAGAAATAATGCGTCACTTTTGAAGGATAACAATTAGAAATAATCACCTTCAATGTAAACTTAAGGATCAACAAGGTCCTTGCAACTCAGTGCTCGTAAAGAAGAATGTTCTGGTTATATAATTAAAGGTGTGAAAAGCAAGAAAAAGAAAGATTGTTCCTACGCTCCTTGATTATATCCGCTTATTTATCCCACAGGAGTTGACTCGAAATGGGAATACAATTCAACGCAGCCAACCATTTAAAGTATATTTTAAGTGATAAGATGTAAACCCGAGGCGTGCGCCCAAAGTGCATGTATCTTTTTAAATGTTGAATTGGTCAACAATGTAAAAAGAAACTAATAATGGTTTTACAGATAATGACAACAACTATTCCAAAGAACAGTGACAGGTAGCAACGAACAAATTGCAAGCAAAACTCAGCTAATGAACCATGACTATATTTATATACACATACGACATATTATACAATCGCGAGATTAAGTACGTATTTGAGGTTTCAAACAGCAGAAAATATCCAATCCGCAGATGAAATTACACTTACCAAAAGAGTCTTGCAGACCAAATTGCTTTCAAAAACTTAATTCAGAATATCCAAAAATTATGTCAAAATAATCAGCTTCGCCGAAATTTCAGAATCTTCTAGTCATCCACGAAACTCCTAATGTCTTGAATACAATTTCCATACAATTACAGTAGAATACTCAAATAAAAGAATAAATCAGAAAACAGATAACCAGCCCCAGTATCCACCAGCACCACCAAGAGAAACTCAGAAATGGAAAACCTGGCTTACCTATCAATTTCTGAGGTAGAAAGTTCCGGGTTAGCGAACCGAGCGAGAGATGAAGAAGATTTCAAAATTAGAGAGTTAGACGCAAGCGATGGCAACGCGTATCAAGGTTTATTTGGCTATAGGATTGGAATTTTCCGGGAAACTGTTTCCTTTGGTTGAACTGTCCGCCCCTTGCTTTCTTCTTGTTGCGCCAAAAAGAGCGAGCGCCCCCACAAGAGGCAAATTTCATTACGATGTAGTTAATTTTTTAATATGTTAAAAGACAACAGTTATCTGTCTGTTTAATATATGATAATTAATTAAAATATTTTAAATATAAAAATAAATATGAGTATGATAAGATTATTACGTCATTAATTTTTAGTTTATTACAAATTTTTGAATAACTATTCTTAATCACTTTTATGTTCTTTTAATTTTTATTTATATAACTTTTTATATAATTATGAAAATTATATTTTATACATACCATACATTACTATCCAATTATATAATGTATCAATAAGAAGACGAAAACAATAAGTTGGTAATTATTATTTCAATTTTTGGTTAAATTAGTAATTATATTTTTTAAAATTTTTTGATGAACTCACCATTAAAACTGTTAAAGGGGACCATCTATGTATAGTTTGCTGCAACTTCAAATATGTATACATGTATATGTATAGCTTGCTGTTACATATATCCACAACTTCCTATTGTGTATTTTCAGAAAAAATGGAATAAGGTTTAGCTAGATGAAAAGTTATGCTTTGTCTAGTTTACTGCAAGTGTCTAAGTTTGGTTTTCCCCTCTATTTTCTGGGATAATACTTTAGGTACTAAAGCTCTTAGGCATTTTACATATATATACACACACATATATACGCGTAGATATTAAATGTTTTCTCTTGCATTTTTTTATTATATTTGATTTTTTTTTATATAAAGAAAATAATACAAACCAAAATAAGAAAAATGCAAAAACAAACTTAGAACTTACATATTCTAAATGATCAGATTCCAATGAAGTCCTCTCTCATGATGTTCAAGAGCTCTTGAAAAAGGTATTGCATATAATAAGATCTATGGGGTTAGGAGAAAGCCCGATTCACCAAGTAGTCCGTACAGCGATTTCTCTCACGGTACACATATTGTATATTTACATTTTAATTTTTTAAAAGTCGTTTTGATAACTAAAATCATATTGGAATTAACATTGATTGGAATCAACTTTTTGTTGAGAACTCTATTTAAGATTTGAACCACATGTACACTATCAATCTCCAAGATAACATTACGTTACGAGAACTCAGGTTCCAAATCAAATCCAGACCATCCAGAGCCCCCCAAAACTAGGCCTATAAGACGGAGCAGGTGTCAATGTTCCAGAAATGACTCCCAAGCCACCAACCATTGTTACCTCTACCAATCCCACCCGCACAAGCCATATTGATGCTCCTACGAAGTGCCTCATCCGTATTGATCTTGATTCAATTCTAAGGTGATAGTATCCAACTGATGAGTTTTTTATCTTTTCGAGCGTGACAACCATATATAATCATATTAATAATAGAGGTATAAAAAGTGTACTCAGTCATTCTAAAAATTTATTGTTTTAACTCCTCCAAACTGGATGGATTACCACCAAACACAATTATTTTGTTATTTTCATATCAACTAGCATGTGATGTCAAATACAATTTTCGAATTTATAAAAGACGAGCACTAACTATACTTATTTTAAAGATTAACATTAAGTCAATTATCAAAGTAGACGCCGAAGAAATTATGGTATGACGTCTGGAAGATAATTTTCAGTCAAAGACTCTTCACCCGGTGATACTCCCTCAAAACATTGTTGAGATCTTCAATACCAAGCCCACAAACATTACAAACAGGATCACCCGCCATGTGCTTGCGAACCTGTTCCTCATTCACTAACACAAAGTCTAACAACATTAGCAGCAAATTAAAAAGTGGACCTAGATCATAAATTTCTTAACGAATTTAAATTAAATTAACTAAAAATTAAGACGATAATTAATTTAAATTAGTAGAAAAACTTGATCATCATTTAAGGAGTTGGTAGCGTCAAGGCGAAGAGGGAGAGAAAGTGACGTACGGAACCAAAGATACAAAAAAAAAAAAAAAAAACAGATTATAAAAAATACACTTTCGGATAAAACTAAGATGTCCTTCTGGTCTTGATGACGTGTCTTTATTTTTACAAAATGAACCTTTTTAATTAATTAAGAAAAATGAAAAACTTAATCCAATTAATTACAATAGAAATAAAATAAACCAATTTTAATTATTTTAACTAATAAAATCGAGTGTACAAATAATTTTTTTCTGTACAAAATACTTATTAGTATAAAACTATTTTTCCAATAAAATTAAATTTTATTGCAGAATGAAATTATAATAAAATTTAGAACTAACAAAGTTAAATAATTATAAAATTAAAATTATTTTTACTAAACAATTAAATATGATAAATTAAGAAGAACTTCTCTCACTATGTCATAATAAATAATAATAATAGATTATTACGCCACGTGGCATCCGGAGAAGTTCCAGATAAACACGAAACCGTGCCCGCAACATCAAATTTGCAAAAGGTACAGGAGGAAGTAGAGTCCATGAAAATTGCCAGAATGATTTCTCTGCATTCGTCAGTCATCAAAACCACTCTTCATCAATCTTCAACCTTCCGATCCTTGCACTCTCTTCAACCAAAATCCCCACATTTCATCTCCTTCAACTGTGATTCTTCACTTCCCTTTCCCGCTGGAAACCCGATTGTCACTTGCAAGCGTCGTCTCTCTGTCGTTTCTGCATCCAAAATGGACCGACCCGATTTTCAGGTTCTCCTGTACTTTTCATTATAGTAAAGAGAAACTGTGTGGTGGTTCAGAGATTTGCCTTGTTAATGATTTCTGACGCTGTTTTTATTATTATTATTGTTATTTTTATTTTTTTCCCTCGTGTTTAAAGCAATCATGGTGTTCTTTTTTTCCCTTCAATTCTAGGGAAGCGAATCGTTCTTCAGGAGTGTGTTAGGAAGTATGGAAACGGTGTATCTTGATAGGAATCCTACAGCGAAAGCGATCCTTGAGCTTGTCTCGTCTTTCGGCAATGATCAAATTTGTTATGATCATCTCGCGTTTAGGACATTTGGAGTATGCCTACTCTAGATTAAGTTCAATTTATTTATTGTTTCGTTTCTTTCTATCTGATAATTAATTTGGTAAATTGATGTTTAGCCATTTTTCTCTTGTCGAAATTGTAGGTGAATGGTTACGGGATTGATTCTGTGGCAAGTTTTTTCACGGATTATGGGTATACACCAAAGGAGGAGCTGAGATTTCCGGCAAAGAAACTGAAAGCATTATGGTTTTCTCCTCCCAGCATCCCTGTTCCTGATGGTGGCAGCGGTATTAGTGGGCCTCCTTTGCCTAGAGTATTCATATCAGAGCTTCTTGTGGATCAAATGAGTCCACAAACCCAGGTGAGTATTGGGTTATTTCACACCTTCGCTTTTGTCTCTTTTCTGATGGATTCAAATCTTAATCGTCTTGGATTCCTTTCCTTCTTGATTTTGATTTCCTTTTAGTAGCATCAGCTTCATACCAAAGAATCGCGGCTTTCTTTGTTTAGTAGAACATGAAGGGCTATCTCTATTGATGAATGCCAACGATAGAAATATAATCAACTGGATCTACAAAGTTAGGGAATTGCAGCTGAACCTTCTTCTACAATTTTGTAATCCTGCCTTATCATAGTCAAATTTTCTCGATTCATGAATTTGGTACTTATACTTGATTTGAGGTCTGGCTGGGATAGATGGGATTGCCAAGTGAAAATCTAGCTGAGAGCTGTTAGTATCTTGTGATACTGCTACTTATTGGCATGATCATCTTATGCATATGTGACTATAGCAAAAATTGAGTGATTATTGTACCTTGCACTGAACTGCAACGTTTTCTAATATGTTGTTTACTTGCTTTATCCTTGTTGATTTGTTCATTTTCCAGTTTGCAGTGTCTGTAAATGATTGTGCTCATTTATTACATTGAACTTGAAATTTTTGCTTTCTACATTCAGGAAATAATCAGGAAATGTACCTCAGCTTCTGGCAGAGGAAATAAGCACGCTGCTCTTTCAAGTGCTCTGGGATATTTAACTTGGGAGAAGCCCTTATATACTGAGTTCAAACAATTGGCTAGGTATTCTTTTTTGTTCTTTTTATGAACCGAGCTCATTAATGTCACCAAAAGTCTATATGGCAAAATTTGTAATGCAGCACTTGCAACTGATATCCTTGTGCATCGCTGTGATACCAATTAGGGTTGTGCTGTCTAATCCTGTTTGTTGTAATTATAATGTTAGAGCCTAAAAATTCAAGTTCCTAAAGTGTTTTGCATTATTATTAAATAGGGAAAGTGAATATGCTGCCTGGACGCTTGTGAATGGATATGCACTTAACCATGTGACTATTTCAGTTCATCGTCTAAAATCTCACTTGAATAACATCAAAAGCCTCAACCAATTTATTGAAGAGAAGGGATTCAAGCTGAATTCTGAAGGAGGGGTTCTAAAAGGTTTGTTATTTGGTTTGCAATGCTTTTGCTTCATTTTGTTTGCAAGGATATTTTAGGGAATTAGTATTACTGAGCTGGGAAAAATTAGTTTTGGAGCTATCTTGTGGCGGTTTTACATTCCCCACCTGATCCATTCTTCATCAAAACAGTGAGCCCTGACGGTCTGTTGCAGCAAAGCTCAACTGTAGCAGATTCAATTCAGTTCTATTTTTCTGATGGTGTCACTGAGTCAGTCCCCTGTTCGTACATTGAGTTTGCGGAACGACTTGTGCTGCCTCAATATAAAGATCTACCGGACAGAGAGGTAATATAACTATTTTACCCATTGCTTTCGCCTAGAAAAGGATGTTTCAATTATCACGTGTTCCGTGTTGCACAACATTACTGACTATAGTCTCACAAATCTAAACATGATCAATTTTAGCTGTTTTGCCACTTGGTTATTACATAATCAGTTGTTATCTTCTATTCGTGACTTCATCACAGGTTGAAGAGTTCCACAGGCGAGATGGATTCGAAGTTGGAAATGCTGACAAAATATTTGAGAGCACATCCAAGGAGCAGCTCACCAGGAGAGCTGCCTGAGATACAAATTACTTGACATTATATTATGATGAGTTCACACATGTAGGAATGGGATACATCTAGCTGGATGTAGAGTCTGAGTTGCTGCTGTAAACATACAGCATTTGGAAAAAAAAAATGAAAGAGGGGTTAAATCGTGTAAGTAAAATATGAATCAACAATCAACATATGATTAATGTATGTACATTATGACAAGCCAAAAGTAACAACTTTTAGCTTTTATGCTCTTATTACTCATTATGCCTCTTCACTCGGGAACTCTACTGATGGCAGATCCCAATTTCTGGATTGATTCTATTCAAACCTTGTTTCTCTTTTGAAGAGAGATTTATGCAATAGCTAAATTGACTATATATTATTTTCCATGTGTCTCTTTTCCGGACGATAGTGAAGATCCAAGTAGATAAAATTTTATGACATTTCTTTAAGAATTGGTAGTTCTACAAGTTTTAATTTTTATTTCATCTAAAATAAATAAGAGCACTTGTTTGGCTCGGATAATGATAACCTGCTGAGTTGCAGAGGTGATGTGGCTCAAATGAGGATAACGTAAACCTGCCATTTCATCGAAGCAATATAAAAAAAAAAAAAAAAAAAAAAAGTTTTTCCTGATTTAATGCCAGCATTAATTAAATTCCAAGGCGTAATAACCCTACATTCTGGCGAGAGTACGTTGTCCCTGGAATTATTAAAGGAGTTGTTTGGTTCCCCAATTATTATATCCTGGGGTTGGGTCAAGAACGTCGGCCTGAACAGAAACAAAGCGGAGAATTTATTCCCCATGGATATATATAACAAGGACAGGAATTAAATATCTCAAAATATTTACATTTACATTTACTTTTGTTTGAACACTATTAGGCTTAAATTTAATTTGAAATTCAAATTCAAAATTTCTTTTAGGTTCAAATAGTTTAAAATTTATTGTAGATTAGATTCTATTCGTTTGAAAAAAGCTTGAGTTTGTTCTTTAAAAAATCAATAATTTTTAGTATGTTTTATATATTATAAATCTTTAAATATATTATACATTCTAATAGAATGTATTAAAAAAAAATATTGAATATATTAAGGATAAATGTATGTATTTGCAAATTTTTCAATAAAATACCTTAATATAAGAAAAAAAAAAACAACCATAAGCTTCTCATTACCCACTTAAAACATGTCACTGTTACTTTTACAGCAACTGGGTAAACTCTGCAGGGCCGGTGGAGTCGACCGTCAGTAATTGCAGAATTTACCATTCAAATATCGCCTCATCAAAGTCAATCCAGGTTTAGAACAGAAGTTGCATGATTTCATGAACAAGACCTGTGCGGTTAGAGATGTAAGAGCTAATTATCTTCCAACACTTCCAAAATAGATTGCAGCAGCAACATATGACTGACATTAGTACATTCTGCACTATAACGCTTCACCTGCCATGACATGACATTTCTCTGCTCAAGAGATTTGTCATTCTAAACACAACATAAAGCACACATGTTTCTCTGTTGCTTCTTCAGTTGTTCCATGAGCAAATGCTTTTCGATTGAAGTTACATCTATACTTAAGGGGAAGAAACAAATGGTCAAGAGAGAACGAGAAAAGATGATAATTACCAACTCAATTTTATGGCTTAGCATTTGGTTTTGGCGATTGACGAGGGTACTGATAGTGATAAGGAGAAGCATGGGAACCATTTGGAATCGAAAGGCTCCTCTGTTGCCCATTCTTCGAAAATGACCCAGGTTGTGATCGTATCCCATTTCTTGTGTTAGGGCTTGAACCAACGCGGTCAGCTTGCATGGTCTGGAAAAAATATGACGAACTCGCCATGTCCTTCAGGTTCGGCAGAGGCTTCAGAGCTTCAACAACTTCACTCATTAAAGGTCTCGCTTTTGGATCCCGGCTGAGGCAGTGAGCAGCCAGCTGCGCAGCTTTCTGAGCACCTTTGATTGAGAAGTGACCTTCTAGCTTGGGGTCTATCAACCTGTAGAATCTTCTCCTCTCTCCAAGATGTGGCCGGGCCCATTCTACAAGATTATGCTCCCCATTCGGTCTGGTTTTGTCCATGGATCTCCTGCCGGTTAACATTTCAAGCAAAACCACCCCAAAGCTGTACACATCACTCCTTGATGTAAGATGTCCTGAGACATGAATATGTTCATCGGATTAGACAAAGCAAAGATCTGTTTTTCATAGGATATTCAATTATCATGCCTTAAACTACCAAATCCAGACAAGATAGAAATTGAGAACCTGAAAAGAAAAATCAAGGAATTTATTTGTTCTCCGGGAAAATAAAAAATTAGAGTTTGATAACATAAGGAGTGAAGAGAAATTGGTTAGCATAACCAAAGCTCCTAATAAACATTAATAGTGACAGAACTGAGAAACCTTGAAAACAAATTTCTAAAGTTCTAAAAGCCTTTAGTTAGCCTAAAACACTACGATAGCAGATCAAGTATACAGCATCCACTTTGAGATACACTGAATCTATTCATCCCATACATGGATTGTACAATTATTTACATACAAGATATTTGTAGTAAATAAAAAGTATATTTTTTTGAAGTAATTAGGATATATGATAGGAAAAAATAAAATATGTATTTTAATAATTATATGTAATTAGATGTCATACTCTATCACTATTTACTAAACATAAGTTTGGCACAAGCTATTTCTTCTATCTTGAAATGATTATTTGCCCAACCAAGGAATTTAGAAAATGCTGCAGTATGGATTCAGAATTTATGGAAAATGTGTTATATTCTCAAAATCATAAATGAGTACTAGCCTCGTTTTCCTCCTGCCATCCAAGGAAGGAAAAAGGTAGAAACATAACAAAGAAAAAATAGATGGATGCAGAAAAGATAAATTGGCATTCAGTCAAGCTTACCAGTCATTACATATTCTGGGGCCGCATAGCCATACGTTCCCATCACTCGAGTTGATACATGGGTTTTGTCCCCTTCAGGACCATCTTTTGCAAGCCCAAAGTCGGAGAGCTTCGCATTGTAGTCCTGAAACAGCAAATTATTAGAAAGAGAAGATGTAAAAGGAAAATATTCAATTACCCTACAACTGTCATTACCTACCGCATCTAATAGTATATTGGAGGTTTTGAAATCACGATATATTACAGGCCTTTCTGCTTCTTCATGAAGAAAGGCAAGACCCTTTGCAGCACCTAGGGCGATTTTCATCCTTATGGACCATGGAAGAGGTAAAGACCCTGCAGATGACATGGTATATGGAACTTAACTTGTGGCCAGAGAATCTATTATCATATAAAAGCAAGAAATGACAAAAAAAGAATGCTTCATGCTTACAAACAAATTGACAATTACCAAAAGCAACATCTATAATTACAAAGAAATCTACAATTACTAAACAGAAAATGACACAGTTTATTATGTATAAGATTTAGTAGTTTCTAGAGAAGTTTCTTGAAATATCAAAAAATAAAATATTACAGATATAAAATGTTAAAGTAAAGTAGTTTTTGGGGAAGAACCAAGTACTAGAGATCAGCTAAGAAAAAACAAAATGAATGAAAAGTGAAAATTGGCAGAGCACAATGTTCCAGATCCATCTTTATGAACAACTTAGCATTAAACAACAAGCACCAATAGGTTAACAATTGAAGATTTTGAAATTGAATTGGGATGCCCCAAGAAGGCTAATAATCCATGATTTATGTTTTATTTTCTATTCCTTTCCATTTTCTTTGAGACATTGATTCACAAATTTTGAATCTTATTTCCTTCCATGTTCTAGTCTGCTTAAAATGTAACAGCGAGATGAGAAGGATCAAATAACAAAAGCTAAGGTACTTAAAACATACTTCTAAACAGGTGGTTTTCCAAGCTTCCTCGAGGCATAAACTCGTACACAAGCAGTCTCTGATCGTCCTCAATGCAGTAACCAATCAATTTAACCAAGTTAGGGTGAACTAGATCTCCGAGAAAACTTACTTCAGCCTGCCAAGTAAATGAGCAAACAATCAAATGGTACTATCCAAAAGCAAGACAAACAAAGCATTAACGAACAAAATAATGGAAAAGAAAAATATCAAATGTGAAGATGAAAAAATAATAATAATAAATACTAAAACAGATAAAGTTCCAAACCAGCCATTCTTTATGACCCTGAAGACCATCATGATTGAGGGTTTTAACAGCAACTGTTAGCCCTGTGCCAGGTTTAACCGGAGCAGTTCCATTTTCTTCAATCCAACCCTTGAACACGCAACCAAAACCACCTTCCCCGAGGAGACTCTCAGGTCTAAAATTTCTTGTTGCTAACTTAAGATCATTAAATGTAAACTTCCGTAGCCGAGAAGCAACCTTAAGCTCTTCTTCGAGTCTGGAGGTGGAAGAATTGCTCTCTGTATTACTTGTAGTAGTAGTAGTAGACGAAACTGCAGGAGCTACTGGCTGGTCTCTACTTGTATCATTAGTAGATCTGCTCTCCACTGAGCCATGTATAGAAATAACATATTAGAATTCAATACTCAAACAGGTTCTCATTCTTAAAGAGAGGGAAAGAGTGAGACAAATTAGAAGAGTATCATGTTTCTTGTTTGAGATTCAGATTTCCCAGTATTCTTCCATTTACAGTTCCTGATATATTTAGAATCA